GACTTAGTTTCTCTTTTAATTGAAGTAGTTATTTAATTAATGATTTCACTCTTTTTTTATTTGTTTTTTATTTATATCTCATGTAATTTTATTTTACAGTTCCAGTGTACAGCACTTTGTGTCAGCTGTGGTTGTTTTAAAGTGCTTTATAAATAAAGTTGATGATGATGGTTCTCAGACCGTCAGCAGCTCAGACTCGGCTACTCGTTGTGTAGTTTTGTGTCGGACGTGTTCATACTGCCAAACAAAGCTAACGAGTGTGCTACGTCACAAACAGAGCACAGCCTGGCCTCGGTCACGCCCTCCCGACAGGTTAAAGTTTATAGACGTGTGTCGTGAAGCTCAGCGTCTGAGGGGAAACGGGTACAGGTGTGGTGCACAGGTGTGAGCTCTAACCTCGGTAAAATTTTACTCTCCAACCACACTCTGAGCTCTGTGAGTAAATCATCCACCAGGCGGGGATTACTCTGCCTCCAGCTGTGCCGCCTCCACCCAACAGCAGGACCCAGAGTTTGGACAGTAATCCAAACTCTGGATTACTGTGCGTACAAAGTCTGCTAACCTGTGTCTCACCTGTAACTGTTGTGCAGATGTACCCCGAGGGTGGAGGAGAAAAAGGAGGAGGTGGTAAAACGTGCCTTCCCCGCGGCTCCTTCCTGTCCTGCTCCTCAGATAACACCATCCGACTGTGGAGCATTGACGGGCACAGCGCCCTCCACAGGAACATCCTGAGCAACGTAGGACAGCACGCACCTGCACATCGTACACCTACACCTGTGCTACACTGACCTATGGCCTCTGTCCCCGCAGGACCTGCAGAAGGTCGTGTACGTGGACGACAACGTAACTGGCCTCCTGGACACGGAGAGCGTCAGCATTGCTGCGGGTACGGAGAAGGCGGGGTCATCGGTGACAGAGGGGCAGCAGGTGGACCAGAGCAGAGCGGGCATTAGGACCCTGAGAGTCAGCCCCGATGGACATCACCTGGCCTCTGGAGATCGCACAGGGATCCTCAGGTGAGTGGAGGTGGGCAGGTCGCCACGGAAAAGGTGCGTGTGCGTTGGTGTGACGTTGGTGTGACGTCGGTGTGTTTTAGGATCCACGACCTAGACGGCATGGAGGAAATTCTGAACGTTCAGGCTCACGACTCCGACATCCTGTGCCTCGAGTTCTCCAAACCGGACACAGGTGAGAAACCATCCCAGACCAGTGCGGGAACACAACGCAGCGCTGGAAACAGTTCAGTTTTTGAAGACAGTTTAAATATATCCTAAAGAAAAGATATAAATACTTTAAAGATATTTTCACTCTGTGAAACTAACGCTGTGCTATAAACCCAACATCCGTTTTTATTCCCTGATGGAAAACTAAAATATTCCATCACCGCTCTTATTTTGAAATGGGTTTTATTCATAGCTTTATTGTGAAAAATGTTCTCCTCATGCTAATGAAGCCTTGAATGTACAGCCAACGATTACTGAAAGGACCCCTAAAGAAGGGGTTCCAACTCCAGGCCTCGAGGGCCGGTGTCCTGCAGGTTTTAGATCTCACCCTGGGTCAACACACCTGAGTCCAGCCTCTGGACACGAGGTCATTCAGCCATTTAAATCAGGGGCGATCGTGGCTCAAGAGTTGGGCGTTCGCCTTGTAATCGGAAGGTTGCCGGTTCGAGCCCCGGCTTGAACAGTCTCGGTCGTTGTGTCCATGGGCAAGACACTTCACCCGTTGCCTACTGGTGGTGGTCAGAGGGCCCGGTGGCGCCAGTGTCCGGCAGCCTCGCCTCTGTCAGTGCGCCCCAGGGTGGCTGTGGCTACAATGTAGCTTGCCATCACCTGTGTGTGAATGTGTGTGTGAATGGGTGGATGACTGGATATGTAAAGCGCTTTGGGGTTCTTAGGGACTAGTAAAGCGCTATATAAATACAGGCCATTACCATAAATCAGCTGTGCTGAATCAGGGACGCGTCTGCAGCACTCGAGGCCTGGAGATGGAGATGGACACCCCTGCCATAAAGGGAGGAAACGTAGACGCTTACGATACCTGACATTATCCCCGCCCCTCCCCCTGCTGGTTTGACTTGATTTTGAAGGTCAGAGCTCAGTCTTACAGATTAGTTGTCCTCTGACTCGAGGTCCTTTGTTTCTCTTCCTCTTGGAAAACAAAAAGCTCGTCCTTTTTGCTGAGTCGACATCTCTTTACAGGAAGTGATGCCACTGGAGCTTGTTAAATTGGTATGTGTGTAATTATGTGTTTCTGTGGTTGTGAGTGTTCCTTTCTGACTTACAGCCGGCTCCGTCTGTGGTTTTCAGTCATTTTGGACCGTTGGTTTCCCTGCAGAGAGAATTTCCTGTGTTCCACCACATAAACCTGCAACATTCAACTAGCAAGACTGACCTCAGATTTTCAAAATAAAAGTACTTGTGTTTCTGTAAATTGGCCCTTATTTTCAGGACGCGTAAAAGTGAGGTCATTTTGCTGTGTGTGTGGTTTTACACCATTTTCTGTTTTGTGTGAAAGGACGCTCTAAAGTTATAAAGAGAGTGGGAGAGTTTTATCTGTGAGAAGAGCTGCTGACATAAGCTAATGTAGTTAAAGTCAGCCGTGTGCTTCCATGATTTACACCCACACGGTGCTCGTTATAACTGACTTTACCATCGCGAGCAGCTAAAAGCAGACGCTAACGTGGTGCAGTGGTGGCTGGGCCGCAGCGTATGCATTATTTTTGTGCCACTGTTCTGAGCGCATGTAAAAAAAAAATTTGCAGGTGCACACACGTACACACACAATGTGTTGCTCGCGCTCTCAACATTTCTGCCCGTGTGCGCTCAACTCTTTCTCTACACCGTTATATTTGTGCCACAAAACCAGCCAATCACAGACTTGGATGCAAAAAAATCTGAGAAAATCAAAACAAAAGGGTTGAGCAGGCACAGGCAGAAATGTTGAGAGCGCGAGCAACACGTTGCGAGCAGGCGCAAATGCAAAAACTGAGCGAGAGGGGCTGCTGTTGTGTGTGTGTGTGTGTGTGTGTGTGTGTGTGTGTGTGTGTGTGTGTGTGTGTAATAGCAAACACTGAAATACAGTTTTTGCACGCAGCAATGAATTTTATTCACTCAAATTCTTTTCTTTGCTGAAAATAAATTTCTCCTCAAAATGCAACACTTGCACCTGCAAACTTTTTTTTACGTGCACTCAGAATAGTGGCACAAAAATAATGCCATAGCAGCGCCGTGCTGGCCTTCAGACATGTCTTCATCCTCCTCCAGAGGTTCATTAGATTATTGGAGTCACACAGATGAAGCCACAGCTGTGTGTGTGTGTGTCTGTGTGTGTGTGCGTGCACCCGCCTTGGCGGTTTGTGGGGACTCTATTTTTGACTGCAGCGAGGAATTGGCGGAGGGGGCGGGGCTCTTTTGTGCTTTGAGTCAGCTGATTACAGCAGGTCCTTTTAACACCGAGATAAATATCAGCGTGAAAATGTTCACTCAGACTTCCTATTGGCTTGTGTGATGTGATGTCAGACAAGGAGAAACGCAGGTTAGCGATAAAGGGCTAACGTTTCCCTCAGCTTTGTCTTGTAGGCGTTACGGCGATCAGACCGTTCACCGTTGTGACACTTAAGGGCGTTTAAAGAGAACGTTGGTCCAACCACATTTACGCGTCTCTCTCAGGTCTCCAGTTATTGGCCACGGCCGGCCGGGACCGTCTGATCCACGTCCTGGATGTGGGCAGAGATTACAGCCTGGTTCAGACTCTGGATGAGCACTCGTCCTCCATCACTGCCGTCAGATTTGCTGGTACTGTCTGACCTTTGACCTCTTTTACCCTCTACCCCTTGCTGCTGTAAGTTTGCTGCTAGCGTCTAACCTGTGATGTTCTTCTTCCTGTCTGTCAGCCAATGAGGGGAAGGTGAGGATGATCAGCTGCGGCGCCGATAAGAGCGTCTACTTTCGCACGGCTCAGCAGGTGAGACAGAGGCCCGTGTGAGTACACATTAGTACTTCTGAACATATGAATAGTACCTGTAGCGGAGTAATAGTACTGCTGAGTGTCGCGCTCGTGGCTCCGTCACTGATCCGAGGTCAGTTGAATGCAGTTTTCGTTCACGTGTTTCCAGGTGAAATGATGTAAAATAAACTCCTTCTGGTACTTCGTGGTCATGTGGTGCTTCCTCTTCTCTCTGCTCCTCCTCAGACAGGGGAGGGATTGGAGTTCACGCGGACGCATCACGCCGTCAGGAAGACAACGCTGTACGACATGGACGTCGAGCCGACCGGGACGTACGCAGCGGTGGGCTGTCAGGACCGCAGCATCAGGTAACGGCCGACCGATGAAAGGTTGTGACCAACTACAACTCCCATGATGCAGTCTGCCTGCAGGCGTCCAGTCAGTGATCAGCAGAAGCCGTTTCAAAGCTGGAACTGAAAAGTGACTAGCAATCAGCCAATCAGACGCTGGATGAGCCTGGACTTTAATCCACCTTTAGCTCAGATCAGTCAGATTACCCAGCAGCCAGTGGGAGTAGCAGGATTAACCACCTCCTCCTTCTCTCTGGGTTCTTTCTTCCTTCTGTATGTTTACAGCACCTTCCAAAGTATTTCACATTAAAAGCAGCAAACCCAGAGAAGCAGAAACCAAATGACTTTCACATTAAAAGCCCCACTTTTAGGGGAAAGGCTTCATGTATTGATTATCTATCAGTGGGGACGATCCGACCAGTCATGCTGCCCCCTGCTGGTTACAGCTTTATCAATGTGATTGGCCCAGTAAGCAGCACTGGTGTTTCCTGTTCCTGTGAATGGTTTTGATGGGATTAGTTCAGAGTTGACTTGTTCAACCTTCTGCAGCTCCAAACGGAAGCGTTTCTCAGCTTCGAGCTGGTTTTCTGAACATACCTGCGCATTGTGGATGTAAACACATGAATGTGTACAAATACACACGGGTGTATCACATGTTTGTTTGGATTTAAACCTTTACTGGCGCTCCCATTCACTGCCATGCAAACTTCCGGCAGCTTCCTTCCTGCTTTAAGGTGTGTTGCTGCCACCTTATGGCTGTAAGTGTCATTACATCCAGGAAGTAGTTTTATTTTTCTGGTGAGGTCTGTGGCAGCTGGTCTCCGGTCGCTTCATCCCCTCACTTCCTGTCTGTGGATCATGTTTTTAGTTTGTAAATACTGCTGCCGATGATGATGATAATCACGATGATGGTGGAGTGCTGTGTCTCACCCTGCAGGATCTTTAACATCAGTAACGGGAAACAGAAGAAGCTCTACAAAGGCTCTCAGGGCGAAGACGGGACGCTCATTAAGGTCAGAAAAGTGTGGGTACCATGATGATGTTTCCATGGGAACAGGGACATACAATAACCGACTCCTCCTGCGTCCTCAGGTGCAGATAGACCCGTCGGGGCTCTTCATCGCCACCTCCTGCTCAGACAAGAACATTGGCATCTTCGACCTGTACTCAGGAGAGTGCGTGGCCACCATGTTCGGACACTCGGGTCAGTCGCCGTCAGTTACAGACATGATTAATGACCGCTGACAGCAGAGCCAGTTCTTTCAAAGCTTTATTTAAAACCAGAGCTTTTACACACGGCTGTGATTCAAGTAAAGTTATTTCAAATCTGGCCCTTTTTCTTCCTGTTCCAGAGATCATAACGGGGTTAAAGTTCAGCAATGACTGCAGACACCTGATCACCGTGTCAGGAGACAGGTACGCCTCACCTGAACCCCCCGCACCCACCCACAGCCCTCCATACCTTTATTAACCCTCTGGGTTTGTTCAAAATCACGACCCTTTCAGCTTGTTCGTGGCCAAAAGTGGCCACCAACAGATTAGGTCTGTAATTTTTATTATTTTTATGTTTTTTTGCCATTTTTTCTGCATAAAGCTTTTAACTAACTTCAGTTCTTGTCATAAATATAAAATAATTATTACTTTTTAACCCTTTAAACACCAGTTTGTTTGCCCACTGCACTAGCTGGAAGACAACCTCAAATCTCGCAATTTTATATAATTGCATTGCTACTGAAATTTCTTGTATTATTAATAGTAGAGTCTGGGGCATGTAATTGATTCACATCAACACTGATTATAATGCATTGTTATTTCTGTGCATAAAAACTCCCTCTCAGCTTGTTCGTGGCCAAAAATGGCCACCCCTTGTTTACATTTACAAAATGCTATAAAATTCATATATATTAAGAAAAAATTCCACTTTTTTTTACTTGAATTTTTAGATTAGCATCTATCATCTAGTTCATGATAATCTAAATTTTATTAAAAATCCGGAATTTTAACCCTTTAAATACCAGTTAAATCACATAATTTTAATGATTTAAATAAGGATAAAAGCATAAAATCACCTTTTTTTTCTAATTAATGCATGCAAACTGATTTATTTTCTAACCATGGTGGAGGTTAGATGCGTAGCAATAATTAAAAGTATCAATGAGTTTTATGCATCTTTGTTTTTTTGTGCAGTGACAGAAAAACAAAAAAACTCCCTCTCAGCTTGTTCGTGGCCAAAAATGTTCACCCCCTGTTCATGTTTACAAAATGCTATAAAATTCATATATATTAAAACATTTTCTACTTTCATTGACTTGATTTTTTAAAACCAAAATATAATTCAAATTCAGATATTATACCCTTTGAATACCAGTCAGATTATGTATTATTATAGTAAAAATAGTAATAAAGTTCACATTTTTAGCATATGAATGATGAAACCTAATTTTTTTTTTATCATCATTGCAGGTCAGTAACAATGATTTATTTTTACTTTTTTTCTTTTTGGAGGGGGGGGGGTTGAATGGCCAAAAAGAAAATCACACATGGTGTGTTAGTGGCCAGAAAGGCAGTTTAATGACCAAATAACCACTGAAATGACCAATAAAATGATTGAACTTTATATTCCAGTGTGCTTCTGTGTGCATCTTCATTAGCAGCAGGATGTACTAGCCACAGTAGAGTGGTTTTTGTAGGCACACTTTCTGCACCTGGTGCAAGGGGCTGCTGTTCCAATCCTGGAGGTGCACCTTTTGCACCTTCTTCTCATTTCGTTGGTGGGGTGTGGGTCACACTCTGGGTCACACTTTGGTTCAGACTACTGTATCTTGAGATCAATGGCAGAAGTGGCTGAGAATCAGGGACAAGGGTGTCTTGCAGTTGTTGAGGTCACCAGCATGTGTCCCAGCTCTCCCAGGATCACTCTTCATCTGTAGGTTGTAGAGGACTCCCCCACTTCAGTGAACTTGTTTCCGGTGGGACAAAGGCATCGTATCCCGAGACATCCAGGAGATTGGAGAGAAGAGCCATCAGCCATCAGTTAGTTTTCAACTCGAGGTGCCAACACCCTCTAAGTTATCCAAGCAATATTTGTGCCTATTGTAGTCCAGGATTGCCTCTTGCTTTCACGCATCCTTTATTCCCCATCACTGACTGCTGGTTCCTTGTGTGTTGCTGTCAAATGAAGCACATTCCTCCGTTGCTTTGGCATGTGGGATATTGCTGTGGTAGTTTTGGTGAAGCCAAAGACAGACAACAAAATCTTCCTCTGTTGCAACTGGAGGAGCTGGGGAGGAAGCTCTGGGCCAGTTTTCATCTGAGGAGTTCCTCTGCCAAGGTGCCCGAAGGAAAGACGTTGTCCTCGGAGCTCCTCCGTCAGTTGGAGTCTGAACCCCATGCCTTTTTTACTTCTTGAGAACTTCCAGTGTTGTCATCCAACATGCTATGTATTGCTTTATTCTGGTGTAGGCTCACATCTCCACTTCATCTATAATCCTCCAATCCTCACACCTTCACCTCCCATGTAAGGGTGCACAGCAGCCAAAAGATCTCCTTTGTTATAAAAAAAGTCAAAAGTAGATCTCAGGCTGCTAATGCAGGAAATGGCATACAGGGTGACTCCTGGTTTGATACCAGTGGGTACTGGATTGTAGAGCAGTCTCTCTTCAGTTGTGGGACCCACATGGTTTTCCTTTCACGAGGGATCCACTCAGTCACCGGCTCCTCGGTCTCAGAAAATGCTCCTATGTTCTTTTCCATCAGCTGCTTGGCCTCCACCTCCATGCCCCTCGACCCCAATCCTCCCCCAAAGAAGAGGATTCAGGCAATAGCTAGTACTCAACATCAGTGGTGATGCAGTCAGCCTCTTTGGAGATTGTCCCCTCATTTTCTGGAGAGGAAGTTTCTTCATCTTGGGCAGATGTCTTTTCTTCAAGGACAGAGGACTGCTTGCTGTCCTTGCTCTCTGACCATCATAAAGACAGTGCTTGAAGCAGTGATGACTTTCTTGCCATATAGCCAGAATAAATGATTTCTAGAGTTAATATTTTGGGTATGGTATCTTTTATGAAAAATACAAGAGTAAAAGTGCTTTTAACATGCGCTTCAAAGCTAAGTTTGACTGGGAACCTCAAAGCTCATTGTAATGTAAAGCTATGTAATGTTTGATGCATCATTATTTATTCCAGTCTATCTTGCAAATACATGTTTGTGCTGCAATGTCATGCACAAACACAAACTATTAGATCCTTAAGACCAAACCTATGTCAAAATTGTTTCATTATTCTGGTCCATTGGAGTGTGGTAGGCCATCAAAGGCTGCTACTAGAAACTCTGAATATTACATGAAATCGCTTGATTGGCCAAAAATGGGTAAATGATGTAATTTGGTAAAAAACATTAAAAACTACAATTTTTTTTGTGTTGAGTTCAGAATGAAAGCAATTTGACCTAAATCACATGATATAGTACTGTCAATAACAAGGACTCAATAAAGGTGGTTATAATGGGTTTCAATTGGCCAAAAATGGCCACGATAGAGTCAAGAGGAACAATTTGGTGTACAGTGAATATTATTGACATTATTAAGGAGCTGATGTTGAAAATTAAAAAATCTGAGAAAAATACACACCTGTGGGAAGTTTCATTCCATTAACAGAACAAAGATGGTTGAAAAAAGGTCACAATTAGGTTATGGTTATGGTTATGTTTAGGGTCAGGGTAAGCGGCTATGGAAAACATTATGTCAATGAGGTGTCCCCACAAGGATATAAATACACACGTGTATGTCTGTGTGTGTGCGTGTGTGTAGCTGTATCTTCGTGTGGCGTCTGAGTCCAGAGCTCACCATCAGGATGAGGCAGCGTCTCGCTGACCTTAGACCCCCCTGCAGCAATCCCAGTTCCCAGAGTGCACCTCAGCAGCGAGCCGTGAAGCTCAGGTAAACGTGATGATGATGTTCAGACTCACCTGAAGAAAACAAACCAAACTCTGCGATCAAACGCATCCATGAAAACAAAAAACCTGACCCACAGTCAGCCTGATTTAAAATAAAATAACCTGCAGTGAGCTTGACCTCTGTGACCTCTGTCCTGAATCCTGGTGTGAGGTCACATGGTCCCGGCTCTGTGTGCTGACTTGAACTTAAGTGTTTGTGCGGCAGGGAGGCGTCAACGACTCCTGTGGTCACCATGTTGTCTGACAGTGACAAGGAGGAGGAGGAGGGGGAGGAGCTTGGCTGTCCGTACTCGGACACAGCAGGAAATGTGCAACAGGAAACAGGTGTGTTAGAAACTGAATGACTCGATGGATTTGTCAGAGGTCAGGTGACCTTTAACCTGCACTGACAACGTTTCTTGTTTCTTCCCCTCAGAGGCGTCTGATGAGGTGTACAGCAGCAGGAAGGTTGGTGCATGTGACCTTTGACCTTTAACTGATTATTTCATTCTGTTTCGTTGTTGGGATGAAACAGCTCATTAAATGGTTTTTACCTGAAGGGGGCGCTCTAGCGAGTCCGTCCTCGTGAGAGAGAGTTGTTGTTTTTTTATATATTTGTAGTTTTCATTGGTGATCTTGTACAAAGAATTTACAGAAGGAACTTTACAACATGCAAATAGCCAACAGAATTTCAATTTCTCAAAACTGTAGTAAGATGTAAGTAATAGTTCCCAGTTGTATTTCTCTAATTTATTATTATCATGATTATTATGATGATGTCACCCTGGTTGGGCGGGAACCCTGTACCAAAAGCAAACCATCTTAGCATCAATTCTGCCTTGTTAAGCTTGTTCTCTCGGCACACCTCCTTCCAGATCTTAAAAGTTGATTTTATCCAGGGATCATCAGGATCTTTCAAACGCGACTTTAGTTTACCGTCTGCTACTATGGCTTGGATTGGAGGGCCATTAGTAGCTCGTTCTTCTGTGTCTTTCCACCGAGATTTAAACAAAGAATCACACAAACTCATGGCCGTAGCCGGGCAGAATAATAACAGTCCTTCAGACATGGTAAATATGGACTGCCCCTGTCCTTTGGTAATTGTAGTGTACTGTACTGGGTTTTTTCCCCAACCATAAATAGCAGGAAACTATCTTGTCCCATTCCACGAATTGTTGTTTCGGGATTTCAGTGGGGAGAGTTTGGAAAAGATAAAGCAGGCGTGGTAGATCGTTATTGATTCTGTTCATTAGGCCTAAAGCCCCACCTCGTTAAATCCGACTTCAGATAAAAAGATGGGTTTTTTGTTTTGTTTTTTTAAAGTATCTTAAGCTCATCGGCAAAATTTGCATTTACATATTTATGTCTAATAAGCTCTATGACAGAAACAAGTTAAGCTCCTCTAATAAATATAGTACGTATGTAACAACAGGTGTGACGTTAGAACGAACACTCAAATGTATAACAGACAGCTGCTGGGTTTGAGAACTGAACTAATGTTTAAAATATGATCTGATGATGTAACCCAAGCAGATATTTGAAGGGCTTCTGTTTGTGACTCAGCAGGATGGGGGCTTATCTGGGGCGCGACTCCCTCGCCGGCGCTGGTCCAGGAGGATGTGCGACGCTGACGGGGTTCTGATGGTGAAGTCCATGCTGGACCTGAGACTGCTGGACTCTTTCTGCCCCGACAAGCAGGCGGAGGTCAGGACACTCAGAGACACTATTAAAAAAAACAAACACCCGCAAGTGATTAACTAGCATTAATGGTCCTGTTTATTCTGTGAAGACACGCCCACTTGATGTTAGCCACTCCCACTGCAGCAAGATGAGGAAGGGTCAAGGTGCGGAGGAGCTTCACAGGACCAATCAGGAGCTTGGGAGCACCATCAGCCTGCAGGTTTGTGTATGTCAGGGGCGTCTCTCACTGTGATCTGGGAGGGGCGCAGCTGGTAAAAAAAATTAATAAGCCCCTCCCCCACACTCTCTCTCTCCCCCACACCCTGTCGCTACCACACGCTGGTGTGGGGAGAGAGACAGACTCCCACACCCTCTCTCTGCCGCACACCCTGTCTCTCTCTCGCTCCGCCTCACCCTTCCTGTCTCCCTCCCTTATACAGTCACACACTTCCTGTCTAACATTAACACTCCGATGGATTCAGTATCTTGCCCAGTTATACTTGGCGTGCAGACTGGGATTGAACCACTGAGTAACAGCAGGAAGTTCTTCGTGGGTTTGATGCTGCTTTGTGGCTCCAGCTCTGAAGGGCACTGTGAGCTGAACCTTACTCAGATGTGTGATGTCATCCTGTACATACAGGTACACAGACCAGAGTTTATCCTCCTGTCCAATCAGAGCGCAGACGGAGAGAACCCAGTGCTGTATCCGGACCAATGGGAGGACAGAGTGAGCCTGGCAGGCAGGTAGGACTGCTTCCTGTCCTGAGAATTCACAGATGACGTTAACTTTTACCAGCAAATAAGCCCCTCCCCCTGCTGTCAGTGAGTTCCAGGTGAAGGAGGCGTGTCCTGCTGCTGAAGGTGCACGGCCGGACAAACCGAGTCCCGACAGCGGCTGCTCGCTGGGATTCAGCTCCAGACTGTCGAGTCCCAGCAGACCTGCAGGATACGGTGAGATGCACTCACCTGTCTGTGAGCTGCCTCGCTGCTGCTTCCTCTCACCTGTCTTTATCAGCCCAACCCTCTTCTTCTGCCCATCAGACTCTGAGCCCACAGAGCTTCTCAGCATGGACGGAAACTCCTCTGAGCTGGAGGACGAGGAAGACAGAGGACCAGGTGGCGGGGAGTGCAGGAAACCCGTACCCCAGACTCCCGACCAGGAGGCGTTCCTGAAGGAGCACTTTGTGACGCTCGCTGACCTTTCTGCCTCAGGTACGGCGGCAGAGCTTAGCAACTGATTTCAGCATTTTTTCTCCCAGTCCTAAGCGACAGGATTTGAATCACAGCAGACTCACCTACACCTGAACATGTGACCTGTGTGTTGACAGGAAGTCCGAGCAGAGTGTCTCACAGCTCCAATGAGAGTCTGAGCATCTCGTCCAGGTTCCTCACCCAAAGCACACCCACAAGGTAGGATTACCGTCACACACAGGTCAATAATTACACACACACACACACACACACACACACACACAGGTCCATTTAAACCAAACTTTATTGAAAAACGATAACAGCTTCCTGAATGCAGACGTGCAGCTCAGCTATGGGACAGGAGAATACTTGTTGTAGACACAGTGTGGCCTGAACACTGACTCTGTGGGGTCTCCACGCACACGTGTGGTAGATCACTCAGACCTTTTCTTTTCTCTCGCTCTCTCAGCCGGACCGTGCTTCCTCTCCCATCTCGGACCTCGGGGGCTGGTGCGGGGGAGCCAAAGACTCGTCCGCTGGTCTCCGAGGTCCGACCTCTGATGGAAGAGAGCCAGAGGCAGGACGGGAAGGTGCCGTGGACCCAGGACCAAACCCAAAAACAGAACCAGGCTCAGGCCACCTCATTTCAGGACCAAGCCCAGCCTCCCCATGGTTCAAACCAGCTCCGCATCCTAGAGGAGGAGACCCCCTCGACCCAGCAGGTCCACCGACCCTCCCCGCTCAAGAAGAAGGCCCAAACTGCAGTGGAGTGCAGGAGGAACCAGGGACCAACAGCCCGGGCTGCTGCCTCCCATCTGAACTCTGCTGGACTTCGAAAGGCTCAGTCAGTCCACAGCCTGCTGACTGACACAGGTAACACTCAGATCACCACACAAACAGGTAAACAGCACAAGAACCAAAAGAGACTGTGGACCCCCAAGCAGCTGCATACACTGTACACCTGAGTATGAGCGCTCACCTGGACATAAAGAAGCTAAATTAAAGCTAGCAGGCTAACCACACCCACGTTGGCTGTGACTGTAGAAATTAAATGTTACGTCTTTGATTTGAGCCAGTAAAACCAACGCTGTTTGATATAAGTTAGCACTGTGGCTCTGTTAACTTCATTTATGCCACATGTGTCAAAGTCAAGGCCCGCGGGCCACATCACATCCGCGAGATCATTTTATACAGAGTTATTATTATTGTTATGCATGGCCCGGCGATATAAGGCGCTATTAATATACAAACTACAGATCCCATAATGCAGCGCTGCAGCCTCCTTGTCTAGGCTAACTGGGAACATTCCCACGTCAATCAAGTCAAACTTCTGTTATTGAAGCTAGCTGCTCACAATGGTGGAGAGAAAAGTTGATTCTGAAAGCAGAGCCTTTCAGCGCCAGTGGGAGGCTAAATATATGTTTACAGACAGGCTGGTAAACCCGTGTGTCTTATTAGTGGAGCTAATGTGGCTGTAATGAAGGAATTTAATTTAAGACGGCACTACGAGACAAAACATCAGGATAAGCTGTCTGTGAAGGTTCTCAGTCATCCAGGTCATCGTAGTCAAAGGAGCTTGCAAAGAAAAGCGTCTGGACTTCTTTAAGTTGCTTGAAGACGTTTCACCTCTCATCCGAGAAGCTTCTTCAGTTCTAAGGTCAAATGGTGGAGAGTCCCAGATATAACCTAGTGGGAGTAACCCCCCACAGAGGGACAATAGGACCCCCTGATGATCCTCTAATTGCCTGAGCCAAGGTGTGAAACTGGGTGTGGGTGCCAATCAGCCAGAGTTTCGGGTGTGTTCATTGTGAAACCTGGCCCCACCTTATCATGCGAATTCCTGAGGTCAGACGGCCCAGGATGTGAGTGGGCGTTAAGGCGTCTGGGAAGGGATCTCAAAACTGGATTATAGATGGCAGAGAGTTGGTGTCATAAACCCCCGCCTCTGTTCAAAGATGGTCGCTCACAGTGGACATAGATGCTTCTTTCACTCCTCTTTCAAACCATCTGTCCTCTCTGTCCAAAATGTGAACATTGGCATCCTCGAAAGAGTGACCTTTGACCTTTAGATGCAGATGGACTGCAGAGTCTTGTCCTGTGGAGGTGGCTCTTCTGTGTTGTGCCATGCGCTTGTGAACCTTAGAACTGAAGAAGCTTCCCGGATGAGAGGTGAAACGTCTTCAAGCAAATCAAAGAAGTCCAGACGCTTTTCTTTGCAAGCTCCTTTGATGTCAGGATAAGCTGAAAAACCTAAACGCAGAAACTACAGGAAGTAGAAGAGCTAAAGAAGAATCTGACATTTTAGCAGACATTTGTCACCAGAGCAAAATAACAAAGTGAAGCTGTCACAAATGCACCAGTGCAACCTGCCTCACTTTCCCTGTTGCAGTAATGTTGAACCAAGTCAGCGCACTTTGCTGAGCTGCACCTGTGCAGATTCAGATGCAGCTGCAGTGTAATGATGCACTCAAGGAAAGTACGACACTGAATGTCCCGCACAGTTTATTAGCTCCACTCCTGCAGCAACGCCCAGCTCCGTCTACATGCGGCTCCAACCTTGTGTTTGCTCTCATTTATTTTTTCTAGGGTTTTGGCAGCATGTTCATATTTCTAACTTGCATAATTTTGACAGTATATATTTTTATGAAGAGCAAAATATTTAAAGTTAAAGTTTATTTTTTAAAATTTATTTAATCTGTAATAATATTCCTGTCTGTTTTTATTCACATTTATGTTTAAAAAACATTGTTTTAGTGTTCAATAAATGTTTATCTTCTTTGGCCCGCGACCTGAAGTGGGCCTTGAGTTTTGGCCCTATGTGCGATTGAGTTTGACGCCTCTGCTTTATGCGTTAACAAGCAGCTCACGTTAGCTGGCAAGAATTTAACACACTGCATAAATTTGGTGGCAGTTCATGACGTTACCTGATGAATTTGAAAGTGTCCAGTTCCAGCTCTCAGGATAAGATGTTACTGCAAAGATGGCTCACAGCTTGTTTCACACCATTTCCTCAGACTCAAGTTTTGAAATATTTGTATATCAGCAACATTTCAGTCTGCAGGATCTTTTACTCTAAACGGGCTGGCTTATGGCTAGTGTTAGCAAACGTTAGCTTTCTGTGTGATGTCAGAGTTTCTGTGTTGTCACTCCAACTCGTTAGCTACTCCGCAGACTGTTGAACCAATCAGAGAAGGTCTCGACTATTCGTTAGAGTCAGTTCACACACTGGAGATTAAAAACACGGAGGGCCACGGGGGGAAACGGTCTCAGTGTTACTCTGAGTTTACATGTTTTGTTGGACCTAATTACATCACTTCCTGTCTCTCTCATCATCAGGTGACTCCGCCATCTCCCAGATGATCTCTCGTCCCTTCAGAGAGGAGGTGCCCCCTCAGCTGCTCCTTCCTCCTGAGCGTCCCATCACCCTTCCCAGCACCCCCAGACGCCCCCCATCTACGGCACTTCCCCTTCAGAGACCAAGCCCTGCCTCCCCGAGGTCCCCATCACAGGAAACTGCTGCCGCTCTGGCCGCCACCACCCCGAGGAAGTCTTCGTCATCCTCCCTGACTGCATCGGGGCCGCGCTCCTACATGAGCCCCACCGCCAGCTCCATGGCTAAGATGTCCCGCTCTGTCTCCATGGGCGATGGCCTTAACGTCCCCGAACCCACTGACGACCTGGCAGTGACATCACCGACTCCTTCATCTCAAATCAAAGAGACTCCACCTCCTGTTGTCGCCGTGGTTCCCTCTGTTACTCTGGCCACGCCCCCTCACGCAGCTGTGGTCCCAGTTGTCGTCTCTTCGTCTTGCTCCTCGTTTCTGGGGAACCATGGTAACCAGATGCCCCCACCCACCCGCTGTCTCCAGGCTCGCGTCTCCAGTAGCAGCAGGCCGCTTCCTGACAAACCCTCCCTCCCCCCTTTCTCAACGGTGTCCTCATCCTCCTCGCAGCCTCCTCCGGTATCCGTCTCCCCCCTGACTCCCGCACAACAAGAAGCGGGGCCTCCTACAGACGGCGGCGCCGGGCAGATGGACGACGCAGGTTTGGACTCTAACCCTCCTCCTCTTCATCCCTTCATCCTGTCATCTCTTTGGCTCCTCCTCCTCCTCACCCTTCCTCTCCTGTGTGACGGGTGAGACGTTTCTGTCGTCTCTGCTTTCATCGCATCATTGTTTACAGTCTGTTTTTAAATAAATAAAACGACGCTCGAGTGACCTCACCTGCTGCTTTCTCTTTATGCAGACGAGCCAATCAGTGTGGAGAGCTGCAGGGCTCTGACCAATGAGCTGCAGAGCTGCTTTAAGAAAGCGACGCACCTGTACAGGAGAGTGAGTAACAGACTCCGCCCACCTTACCATCTATGTTTGATGGTCACAGCAGTATTCACCTCTCCTCCTCTTCTTCCAGGTGAGTGGCTCCTCCTCAGATGAGTCCGCCCTCGACCAGCACCAGATGTCCCGCGTCCTATCAGAGGCCTTCCAGGCGATGAAGGCGGAGCTTGACGCCCTGCCGCTCGGCATGCTGGCAGCGGAGGGGGGGCTGGGAGGTGTGGGGGAGGTGAAGACGGCGGCGCTTCTGGAGGAGTACTCGCTGCTACTCCTGCAGGCGGTTCACAGGAGGATCAACAGGAGCACCTGAGCCCCGTCCCTCTAACCCCACCCCCCTCTGGAAGGATCTGAAGCCATTTTGTTTTTAAACTGATGCAATGATCTTATTCGTTTTTATCAAAGACGTTTCTCGTTCCTCGAACTTCCCAGCGGCCGTCAGTCTGAAGGAGCGATCGGATTATTGATCGCCGTTAGACTGAGCAATACCACACTTTGTGATCTGATGCTACGACTTTGTATTTATTGTGATGATGAGCTGTTACACTACTGACTCCGCCCCCTCACCTCACGCCGACCGGCCCTGCTTTTACCGCGGTCGTGCATTTTGATGTCTTCGGGTGTTTGTGGGGATAAATTTGTAGTTTGAAACGTTTTCATGTTTTTTTGTCACGTTTAATAAAAGTTTCAGACTCGCTGTGATCTCCGACTTTACTGCAGAACAAACAAGAATCAGCAGGTCTGTTAAAACTTTATTGATCGATAGACGAGAACGCTATTTCACTGACTGCTACATTCACAGGGGCGGGGCTAAAATCACGCTCCTCCTGAGACTTTTCCATGAAATGATCACTGGAGCAGAAACACCAGCAGTGAGACTCGTTAAACCTGTTTACAGGATCATTTCCTCCGCTTTACGTTATATTAAAGAGTAAAGAGTAAAGTTTGCGTTATTAAGTTATTAAGGGCGTGGCCTCTTTCATCCCACTTCCTGTTCGCTCTGCCGTACAAAGGTTGGATAATCTGGGTGCATCCCAGGACGTCGCCATCACAGGTGGAACAGCAGGAAGCCGGAGAACACGCTGAAGTTTCGCGAGTCGTCATAGAGGCGGTAGCTGGCCGGCAGGCCGAGGTGCACCCGGTCGCCCTCCTCTAGCTGCAGACACACGGCGTTGCTTGTGGAGGCGTAGCCGCCGTGGTCGTTCAGGTCGAGGCTGAAAACGATCGGCTTGTCGTTCTTGTACAGGTACAGGCCCATGTAGCCTTTCAGGTAATCTGCAGCCGTGAAGCTGAAGACGTACAGTCCGCTGACAGGAGCCGTGAAAACACCTGAGGACCAGCACAGGTGTTAATCAGACAAGCACCTCAGGGAGGAGCTCCACCCCCTCCACCTTTGACAATATTAATATAATTCTGCAGTCAAACATATGTTACGTGGAGCTGAATATTTCAGCGTCATGTGGGCGGCACGCTCTACCTGCTGTCGGGTTGTAGGCTTCGCCAACGTTGGTGATGATTTTGGAGAAGATCAGAGTTGTTTCTTTATCAAACGGTCCCACTGACCCCGAATCGGTCAGACCGGCTGAAAACGCCACCCTGAGCTCACCTAGAAGAGACAGATGTGATGTTTAACCCACAGCTGGCTGGTGAGGACATTTAAAGTGCCGCAGGCGTCGCTGACCTGCTTCCTCGGACGAGGCGCTCAGCTGGTTCAGCCTGACCTGCAGCTCTGAGAGAAAACATTCAGATGTGATTCAAGTTAATCGGACGCAGAAAGCTTCGAGGTCGTTCGTTACCATCAGCGCGTCTCTGTGCCGCCGTCAGTCGGTCCGAAACAGACTCCAGCTCAGCGGCTCGCACTGAAAACAGAGCGTGACACTGTGAACTCGGATAAACGCCATCAGACCTCCCGACAGTCCGGCAACGTAACAGAGGTCACCTGTGTTTTGTGTCGTCAGCTCGTCCACCTGCCGCTCGGTGACGTTCAGTCTGAGCTTCGTGGCCAACAGCTCGATGTCACGGCCTGAAAACAGTTTTTATTTTAATGACCTGCAGAACAAACGAGACCCCGACCTGCATCTGCGTCTTCAGCTGTAAACATCTGCTCTGCAAGCTGAGCAACAGCAACAATAAACAGTGGTGTGTAGGTTGCTACGCGTCACCTCAGTGTCACTTCATGTCTGACTGAGAGCTTTAATGAGCGACTCTTGAAACCTCAGGTAGGAGCTGATGACGGTACCTGCAGCACGAGTGTCCAGCTGTTCCAGCTGTGTCTCAGAGGATCTCAATCTGACATCCACGGCTGCACAACAAACCACTTTGTCATCGTTCACACAGAATTTCTAAACAGGTTCTCAGTTTCCGCTTTGCTTTAAAATGTCTACAGTTGGTACAAAGGTGTGACGTTAACCTTCGTGTGTTACCTGTGTGCTCAGACAGCAGCTGCTCCAGCTGTTTGTCTCCACTTCTCAGCCTGGTGAACATCTCTAAACAGAAACAGCAGCTGTGAGCGTGCTCAGAGCGATTCTCACTGCGTGCTCTCTGACAGCTGTACCTGTGTTCAGGTCGCCCTGCAGGCTTGCGCTCGCGCTCACGTTTGTCTGCAGCTTCGTCAGTTTGGAGCTTTGATCTGAAATGTGAACAGTAGACAAACAAAGGGCCCTCACACACATACGCTTCCTTTCACCGGAGATTTCATTCACTTACCTGATGTTTCAGTCTGCAGCTCGTGGATCTGATGCTCTGTGGAGTTTAGTTTAAGCTGCAGCTGCTTCACTGAGTCGGTCTGAGCTGGAAACAGCACAGGAAACACATCACAGGTCTGACAGCGACACATCGAGTGTGAATGACAGGTTAGTCTCTGTTTAGACGCAGACGACACTCCGATCTCTGTCCTGGGAGATGATCCTGAGTGTGTCTGGCCTGAATGTTGTTAAACTGAAACGGAGACAGATGCTGCAACAATCACCAGCACGTACGTGTCCACAGAGTGATCAACATGCTCAGTTTTCATCTCAGTCTGAATCGTCAACACCACACAATCATTTTTGTCAGTGTCGACCAATCAAAGCACTGGGAGGAGGAGCCGTTTGTTTTATCTCATCATTCTGTCAGCGTCCAAACTCACTGTTTACACCGACGGTAAATCAGAGGATTTTCAAAATAAATCATTACTGAAACTGTTGAAGCTTCCAGGGAAGCATTAAAATTTTCTTCAGTTTCAGCTTCAAAGTTCAGTGTTTGCTACATAAAGTTGCAACACTTCACTCTGTTTGTGTGGATGTAACGTTCATGTATCGCATGAGCATTTGTACAACATGCCAGTCTGAAAGCTTCTTGTGTTACCTGTGTGCTCAGCCTTCAGCTGTTCCAGCCGTTTCTCACCATCTCTCAGTTGGTTCATAATCTCTGGAAAGTAAAGTAAACACGGTTGATGGTTCTTCAGGAAACCTTGTTAGATCCTTACATGACTGAATGTTTCTCTCTGCTCTGGCTGTATGAAGGTTTACAATCAAAGGTGGGCACACATGACTAAAGTATCCCATTAAACTAAACTGATCCAAATAGCAACTTGTTCAAAATCGTTGTTGATCAGTGTGATCGAAGCAGCTCTGAAACAGAAGCGTCTGGACTTCTTCAAGTTGACTGAAGACGTTTCATCCAAAAAGCTTCTTCAGTCCTGGGGTCAAATGGTGGAGAGTCCCCGAGAGGGTCGTGGACCAACTATTGATCCTCTATCTAATCACACAAACCAAGGTGTGAAAACAGGTGTGGGTCCCAATCAGCCAGGATGAGACCTGGCCCCACCCTATCATGTGATTTCCTGAGGTGAGGATGTGAGTGGGCGTTAAGGCGTCTGGGAAGGATCTCAGACTGGATTATAGATGGCAGACAGATGGTGTCGTAAGCCCCGCCCTGCGTTCAAAGACTGTTGTTCACAGTGAACACAGATGCTTCTTTCACGCCTCTTTCAAACCGTCTGTCTTCTCTGTCCAACATGTGAACATTGGCATCCTCGAAAGAGTGACCTTTGACCTTTAGATGCAGATGGACTGCCATGTCTTGTCCCGTGGAGGTGGCTCTTCTATGTTGTGGCTGTTTGGTGGCGCCAGTGTAGGTCTGAGCTCCGCACAGCTACGTTGCTGAGTTTGTGTTGAACCAGTGTGTGTGTCCGAGTGTGTGTCTGAAGTACCCTCTTCTGAGCGTTGCAGCGTCCCTTTAATAGCATCGCACAAACTCTCTGTATCTTTTCAGTTACAGCGCCCAGCCGGGCTGTTTCTGGGCAGACTTTACTGTTCCAGGAGGACGCTTCGTCCTTCTGCACCCCAGCAGGTAACAGAGTGAAACATGGTCAGGCCACGCAGCTTTCACCAGATCATGCTGACGCACGCACGCAGGCGCGCACACACGCTTTATCTATGCAAACACAAATCCTACAGTGAAGTTCGAACAGCTAAATCTAAATGTGAGGATAAACTACAGTTTTCGTCAGTACACAAAGTCAGATGTTGGATGAATATGAATAAGACGATATCACCAGACCAGGCAGGAAACTGTGTTTGCCGTACTGCGGCCATGTGAGATGAACTTGGGATCTCGTTTCCTTTGAAATGCTTCAAATATGCGACCGCTCGCAGTCAGCTGCCATCTTGGTGCATCAAGAAGCGCTAAGAGTTGCAATATTCAGCAGACTGAGATGAACTGGAAATAACCTTCACCAGTGTGATGATGACTGTGTCAGTCAAATCACGGTTGCTGGCTCCGCCCTGTGCAGTCACCTTGTGAGGCAAAGTGCTCGCACCGAGGCGGAGCACTCGACCTCAGGCTGACCAGTTTACAGCCACTTAGTGAATGCGACGTGGGCAGCACCAAATGTTCCCAGACACGAAAGAGTTCCGCCTTTTTTACTGTAGTGTGACGGAGCCATGAAGAGTTCCTCTGAGAACCAGCTCGGTTCAGGATGAAGTCAAAGTCAGAGTGTGTTACCTGTGTGTTACCTGACAAACAGCTGTTCCAGCTGTTTGTCTCCACGTCTCAGCCTGGTGAACATCTCTAAACAGAAACAGCAGCTGTGAGCGTGCTCAGAGCGATTCTCACTGTGTGCTCTCTGACAGCTGTACCTGTGTTCAGGTCGCCCTGCAGGCTTGCGCTCGCGCTCACATTTGTCTGCAGCTTCGTCAGTTTGGAGCTTTGATCTGAAATGTGCAGGCTTGCGCTCGCGCTCACATTTGTCTGCAGCTTCGTCAGTTTGGAGCTTTGATCTGAAACGTGAACAGTAGACAAACAAAGGGCCCTCACACACATACGCTTCCTTTCACCGGAGATTTCATTCACTTACCTGATGTTTCAGTCTGCAGCTCGTGGATCTGATGCTCTGTGGAGTTTAGTTTAAGCTGCAGCTGCTTCACTGAGTCGGTCTGAGCTGGAAACAGCACAGGAAACACATCACAGGTAAACTGAAAGCAGCTGCATGCTGTCACATGTTGCACCCTCAGATCACCTGACTTGCCTGTGCCGGTCAGCTCCAGCTGCTGCACCTGACTCTTCACAGCCGACAGGTTTTCTTCCCACGAGGCTGTGACAGCTGAGAGGGGAGGAGACGATCCCAGTTATGCAGAAACTCTTCACCTTTACTGGATCAGAGCTCGTTTATGAACACAGGACTGGAGCGCGTCCTTCACACGTCTTCAGCAGCTGTCTGAGGGACACGCTCTCCAGTCGACACGGACACAGTTTATCGTGTTACAGCAGACAGATCTGATCACTGGACACAACATCTGGATCCAGCCAACACCGATGAAACAAACAGGTTGGTGAACATCTGGAAAGGTGAGCTCTGAGGTCAGCTGCAGCTGCTGCAGGTAACTCACACCTGTGGACCGACTCACCTGAGGTTTGTGTGTGCAGCTCATCCAAGCGGCGTTCAGCCTCACTCAGCCTGCTGCCGAGCGCCGAAACGTCCGCCGACTCCACTGAAATGTGAGAACAAAAGCGATGGAGGGTCGGTGAAACATGTTTGATGACGAACGGCTTCAACAGTAATCTACGGACACGAGCACTCGCAGAGATGCTCTCCGTGAACGTGTTTGCTTCCTCGCAGTAACATAAACACGCTGGCGCTCATTTCTCTGTGCGTCTTGCTGCATCAGACTATAAATCTCACGGCGTACTTCCGTCTCGGTTTCATGCACACGACGGTGAGAATTAACTTAATTTTGTTTTTCTAATCTTCTCTCCTGGCTCTCGGCGGAGGCGGTCGCATCTTCTCCGGTCTCCTCTCCCTTATCTTCGTCTCATCTCGGAGACGCTCTCCGCGTGTTCTCTAAGAATAACAAGGAATTATGGATTTGATCAACTGGTCTCTAAACACTACTGACACCCTCTCGATGAGAAACCTGGGTGCTGGGAGGCCGATCCTCCTGCAGGAACGTGCGCTGCCGGATTGGCACGACACCGGTGCATCGTGTGTCTGCCAACACTCTCAGAGGAGGACATTGAAGACCTCGACCTGTTCTGGGCTGTGATAACGGGCTTCCTGCTGATTGGAGCTGCTCGGCCCTGGCGTATCGACGAATAATGAAAACCTGTTACAGCTGCTCAAAATCCCACGAGCACTCACACTGTTAACTGAACACAGTCTGGATAAAATCATGGAGAAGCTCACAACTCTGCAACGGGAGAGCTAGAATTGATAGGATTATGAGAGCTGCTCCATCCCACTTTGGACACATTTATTAACCCTCATAATGTCCTCCCGATTTTCACACACCTGTGGTCCCCAGGGGTCAAAAATGTCCCCATCTGCTTTGATTGATACTTAATTAATATGAAGTGGATTTTCCCCCACTTTTTATTAAAACTTAATTCAAACATTTTGACAAATTTTTTATTCCATTTCAAATTTAAATCTGATAAAAACCTCATAAAAATGAATTTTTTCTTTGTTTTTGGGTAAAAAATAAATTAAATCATCAGTTATTGTGATTATTGTTTCACAACCAGAGTCGGTTTCTTTAACAGATGATCACAGACGGGTTTATGTCAAAGTTAATTTAGAAAGCTGTTTTTAAACTACTTCAAGTTTTTTACTGGCAGCAAATAATCACATCTGTTGTCCTCTGGGCTCAAAAATGACCCCGTTTGCTTTGACTGTTTATAAAGCAACAAGTATAAAATATCCTCCAT